TTATTTTTAAAAAAATATATTTTATTGATTTTTTACAGAGAGGAAGGGAGAGAGATAGAGAGTTAGAAACATCGATGAGAGAGAAACATTGATCAGCTGCCTCCTGCACATCTCCTACTGGGGATGTGCCCGCAACCCAGGTACATGCCCTTGACCGGAATCGAACCCGGGACCTTTCAGTCCGCAGGCAGACGCTCTATCCACTGAGCCAAACCGGTTTCGGCATGAAATAAAAATATATTTAAAAAAAATAAAAATAAATAAAAAGGATATGTATTTGGGCACTCTCTCTCTCCAGGGAGCACAACCTATGCCATTCTCTTCCCTTTTCCTTCCTCCACAGGCGCGTATCCCCTAACCTCTAAGGGACCTCATGAGACTTGCAACCAGAGCAATGGGCAGTGGCAGCTCGTCCCAGGCTAACCCCCTAAACCTGTCTCTAAGGTCCCTTATCATCTGACTTTCCAGTGAGCCAAAGCAAACCCCGCCTAGGCTCTCCTGTTCCTCCTTCTATGGCCTTCCTTTTTTCACTCTCCTATATATATTTTTGCTACAGTCAATAAATTCTTGCTTGCTTTTCTACATTTTGTCTCTTGATTGAAATCTTTCCCTTAAGACAAAAAAAGAAAGGCTATGTATTTGTGTACCCACAAAAACAACCAGTTGTTGTCACAACTGGGGGAGGGAGGTGCTGCTGGCATATGGTGCACAGAGACCATGTTGAACACCCCACAATGTACAGCCCAGCTCCACAACAACAAAGAATGATCCAGTCCAGTGCGTCACTGCTGAGGCCGAGAAGCCCTGCTCTGTAACCTGGCTACTGCTAGCACCTCTGTGGTCAGAACTGCACATCTAATGCTGTGAACAGTTAGACATTTGGCTGAATTTTACAAGGGGCACTTGGGTGGATTTAGGTTTGGAGAACTTGCTTTCCTTTTTTTTTTTTTTAAAAAAAGCATTCAAATAGCTAACATATAAATAAAGCATACTCAGAGCACAAAAAGATACCAGTATATGGTAAAAAGTAAGTCTCCTTTCCACCCTGGCTCCAGCCAGCCAGATCCCTTTGAAGAAGGCAAACCCCTGTCACCAATGTCTTTTATGTGCTTTGTAAGTACTGAAGCACACAAGAGCACAAGTACTGATGTAAGACCTGTTCCTCTCCCTCCAGGGCCCCCATCCCATGTGGCAGCACATTCTATATACAGCTTTGCACCTCACTTTTTTTCTTTTACTTTTATTAGTATTTATTTTATGCTGAATTTACTCCGGGACCATAATTTTTTGTTTCTTCAGCTTCTTCTGGGATGTCTTTTTCTTCTGTGCAACCTCCTCTTCTGGTTTACAAACAACATGCTCTTTTTTAGTGAGGATCATCTCAATGTGGCAGGGAGAGCTCATGTATGGGTTAACCCACCCATGAGCTCTGTAAATTCTACGCTGCATCTTGGGAGCTTTTTTCACCTGGATGTGCTCAATGACTAAAGAATCTACATCTAAACCCTGAAGTTCAGCATTGCTGTCTGCATTTTTAAGCATGTGGAGCAAAAATTCAGCACTCTTTTGGGCCACCAACCCTGCGTTGAGCCCCACTGTTCTGCCTGGGAACACCAAACCCACTCCACCATTTTAACGACGGAATGGCACACATTGCAGCTGTAAAGTGACATCCCTCAGATATTTGGTGGCTTTTCAAATATGCATACCCTTGATGGTCTGGGCAGTCTCATGAGTGTTCTTAAAGTGAACACGAAGATTTGAGCCTCTTGATTTGCAAGATTTTGTGGTGTTTTCTGGGTCAAGTGACTAGAAAACAATTTTCAAAGGTCACCTCTGGCCACTTTGGGGAAGAGGAAGAGCGGTGCACCTCACTTTTTCACTTAAATATCATAGGGATTGTCCCATTTGCAGCACATAAATTTGTTTCATTCATTTGAACAGCTAAACAGCACATAATATGGTCAATTGAAAGACCCTGAGGCAGATTACAATATTTTGCTACTATTGAAAATGCTGCATGAAATAACTTTATACATAGGCTTTTGGGCAATACATTCAAGATAAACTGAGTTAATTCCCAGCAGAATTGCTGGATTATATGGCATACATTTTAAAAAAAATTTTTTTTTAAATCCTCACCCGAGGATATTTTTTTTATTGATTTTTAGAGAGAGTGGAAGCAAGGGGGAGAGACACAGAGAGAAAAACATCAATGTGAGAGAGAAACATCAATTAGTTCCCTCCCTCGCCCAACCATGGCCAGGAATCGAGCCTGCAACCGAGGTACGTGCCCTTGACCGGAGTCAAACCTGCAACCTTTCAGTCCATGGGCCAACACTCTTAACCATGAGCCAAACCGGCTAGGGCTACATCTTTTAAATTTTAATGGATTTTCTTTTTAATAATACAATAATAAAAATTTAATAGGGAAATGAGTTACTCAAGTGCTCTATTAGATGCTTTAATAACTACATATACCTTGTATTCTAATCTTAAAACATACTGGTCACAGGAGCCACGCAGAAGCAAATAGTTCCTTTTATGACTTTGCTTTTAACCTTGCAAAGTCAGGGCAACAAAATGATAGGAGTAAAAAGACAGACAATAACTGAGGATGTAGAGAAATTGAAACTCTGTTGCGTTACTGGTGGAAATGTAAAATGGTGCAGTCACTTTGAAAAACAGTTTGGGCAGTTCTTTAACATGTTAAACACAGAATTACCATATTAACCAACAATTCCATCCTAGGTATAAAGAGAATCAAAAATATTAGTCCACACAAAAACCTGTGCACAAATGTTCATAGCAGCATTTTTCATGATTGGAAAAATACAACTATCCATCAACTAATTAATGGATAAACAAATATGGTATATCCATATAATGGAATATTATTCAGTCATAAAAATTTACATGCTATTACATGGATGAACCTTGAAAACATTACAGTAAGTAAAAGTCAGTCATAAAAGACCACATATTATATAATTCCATTTATATGAAATGTCTACAACAAATAAATTCATAGAGATTGAAAGTAAATTAGCGATTGTCAAGGGTGAGGAGTGGGGGACAGAATGGGAGTGACTGCCAACAGGGATGGGGTTTATTTCTGGGATAATTAAAATGTTTTGAAATTAGTGATAGTTGCACAGTTCTAAGTATAATAAAAAAAACCACTGAACTGGTTTTTTATATTTTAAAGGTGTATTCTATGGTAAGTGAATTCTATATGTAAATTATATCTCAATAAAGCTGTTATTTTTTAAAAAGGATGTATGGAAAGTATCTTGCATACTGAAATTATTTCATGAAAAGGTAGCCCCTTTTGAAAGAGATAAACTAAAGCTCAAGGTGATCTAAAGTGCTTTAGGTATAATAGAGTATTTTCAACAGAACTTAGTGGTTCATTTTATTTGTTCATTTGTTTAAGTGTATAATTCAGTGGTATTTAGTGTATTCACAGTGTTGTGCACTTGGGTTCACTATTAGGTTGTTAGAACCTGAAAACCGATCTGTTGATTAACAAATCTACTGAACAACTAGCCCATTCTTAGTCATTTCCAGGTGTTCTGGAGATTAAGGAGTAACAGTTCTCATCCTCAAGAAATCTAAACCACTCTTAGAAAGAGATGAAATGTAGTGAAGGGAGCCATCACCATACAATGGACTTTCAGAGGCAGCAAGAAAAATGATCTCCATGAAGAAATGAGTTTTCTAGATCAGGTTTTCCCCAGTATTTAACAGGTCCAGAAAATCCTGGTTTTCATAGATTTAAAAAAAGATCAAGAAATGAGTAAAAACAGATTTTTTTAAAAAAACCTCCAAAACAAAACGATAGTTACCAAAATGACTCAGGAAGTTACATTAAGTGGCAAAGTCAGCCATTTGCCATGAGTGTGTGACAGCCTAAGATCAACATTAAATTGTCCTAACACTTTATGAGCAGGACACTTTCTTTTCAGTTGGGGCCACATCCCAGGTGACTTTCTATCACCTGCAGAGCCTTACACCCAGAGAAAAGAATGAACATAATCATCCTTAAGCACAAGCAGACACAGGAAAGGCCCAGCTGCATTCAGGCAGAATCTTCTACTGCTTGTCTACATTATGGTAATCTATTTCTTCACTCCTACATCACATTACTACTTAAACTGGATAATACTATAATGGGAACAGAGGAAAACTCAAACTATAAACAGGAGGGACACAATGTAGGAGAGTGGTTAAGAGCACAGGCTCTGAAGTTAGACCTGTTTTGGGAATTATCAGCGATGTGACTTTGGGCAAATAACATCTGTGAATCTGTTTCTTCATCTGTAAAACAGAATGCAACTACACAACAGTAGCATCTAACAACAGGTTCTTATGAGAATTAAATGACATTTCTGCGGAGCTTACTATGTGTCATTAAAAAAAAGGTTAGCTGATTTTATGAAGACTGGGAACTCTCACAAATCACAAAGCTCTAAAAGAGAGGTCATTTTCCACCGTCTTCTTCTTTGCAAAGAAGAAGAGTGCCTGGAATAGATCAGAGTGGACCAGGCAGGCAATAACCTTTTGTTGAGTGGCCCCAAAATTAGGATACAGATGCATATTAGAACTGGGAAACAATGAATAAAAACCACAACTGTGAAGGCTTTCCAAGGTTCATCTGGACACTGTCTTCAGGTATGTTGGCTACATCTGGAGCCTTTTATGATAAACCCGAGTTTGTTCTAAACTACATCTGAGGGTACAATTACCTCAAACCTCACTGTCTACATTGTCATGTAAATTCACACTATGAGTCTAAACAGGTTTTTGCTTACCATTTAGAGGGATTAAACAGCATCTGAGGAGGTTCAAATATATAAACTGAAACTGGTCAAAAAAGAATAGCCACATTTCAGAAAATATACCATTGGTGAGCTTTTTCCGTGATAAGGTAATATTTTTTAAAAGGAGGCACAGTGAATTTAAGACATTGACATTTATAGCCGTAGCTCGACGCTTACTCTTGGAGGCCCAATTATCATCCCTGTCCATCTTGTAAGTGTCATGTCTTCGTCATCTTCTAGACCCCAGCTAACTGTGCCATCTCCTACTCCTTTCTGGCTTTCTTCGAGTTCTTCCAACAGTCGAAAATTGCGAGGGACTTTTACTCCTAAAATAAATGGAAAGAAATTCAAGATACTAGCAACTCCAGGGGAACTTGTATACCTAGAGTTAGTTGCTCATTATCACTACCTGGGAATGAAGATGCTAACATGCAAATAATGTTGAAAGTTGTTGCACCTCAAATTTGCTGCTTTCCAATCTATTTGTAATTGACCAGCACAACCAGAAGGAAGGGGCTTACGGTTTTGTTACAGGTGAAGTGACAACTGAACCAGGAAAGACATACTCAAAACTAGAAAGACACCCCACCCCATTTCCGTGTCTTTGACGAACTTCATAAAGGGATTACATGTGGAAATGCTGATTCATTTGGGTCCATTAATTAGATGAAAACCATCAATATCAATTGCTAACAAAAGTGCCTTGAAGACAAGAAGCGATTTCTTTTGTTTTGATCTTATTACACATTTCTGTGTTCATTTGTTAGAATGACTCTCAAACTCCTTAGGAGGAAGAGTTGTCCTGACTGCATCAAATAACAACAATGTCCTCTTGATCACTAAGAGTCAATCAAAGGCACCAAGGATAACATTTTCAATTATTTAAGCCATACTTTCTCTCTTAAAAGAGAAGCTAAAAGAGGGTAGTCAGTTATCTGATATACTTGTTTCGTTTCTAAAAACCCAAAGCCTGACAAGGAAGTACACACCTCACAGGTTCCAGCCACTACTCCCGAGTTCAGACTGAGGCTTGAGCCGTTCCTGGGTGTCTTCCAAAACAGAGCCTAGGTACTGGGGCCAGAGAGGGATGAGGCTGTAGGAGGGCACAGAGCAACTCTCTTAGGGTTGCTCTCCCAACCAGTCCTGACTCTCTCTCCTTCCTCCCACCTCTTTCCCTGGAATTTGGACTATTCCTCTGGATAAAACTCAGGATCCAGGCAAGTCACAAGCTTTCTTTGCCTTAAATGCTGAGCCCCCCAACTGGCTAGACTCTCGGAGACAAGTAGCTCAACATAGGACTGTGAACAAAGACCTACTAAAGGGACTCAAGACGGTGGAAGATGTTCCCGGTAGATCTCAGTATTTCCCAAAGTGTGAGATGCATGCTACTATTCAATTTGAATAAATATCTGAGCATCGACTATATATCAGACACTTTTCTAGGCAATGGGGAATAAGTAGTGAACAAAACAAAAATGCCTGCCCTCATGGTGCTTACACTCTAGTGGAACACATATAATTGATAAAATAAACATGCAAATTATGTAGTATGAGAGATGGTACTGTTCTGGAGCACAAAGTAATGAAAGGAGGAGTTACAATTTTAAATAGGGTGATCAAGGAAAGTCTTACTGGAATCAGGAGTCATGACTACAGACTTGAAAATGAGGGAGTCTGACGTATGGAGGGGGAATGGGGGGAATCTTCCAGGCAGAGGAAATAGGCAAGTGCAAAAGCCCTGAAGGAGGACCTTGCCCACAGCGTCAAAGAAGAGCAACCATGCCAAGTCAGCTGCAGCAGAAAATTAGGGACTTCAACTATTATTGAGTGACATAAAAAAGCCACTGGAGTTCTAAACAGAAGAGTAACAGAATCTGACTTGTTTTAACAGGATCCCTCTGACTACTGTGTGAAGAACACAGTGAAGGGAGCTAAGGCAGAAACAGCTAGGAGGCTATTCCAAGAATCCTGCAAAAGATAATACTGGCTTGGACCAGGGTAATGGCAGTGAAGGTGGTGAGAAGTAGTACAATTCTAGATATTTAGAAATCTGAACTGGTAAGATTTGTTGTCAGATTGCCTATGACACACGAGAGAAAGAGGAGTAAACTATGACCCCCAGGCTTTTGGTTTGAACAACACATTAGATGATTTTAGGTGCACATGAATGAACTTGCTTTTACAGTCGTGTATTTATTTTTAAGAATAACTTATTTAGGGCAAGTAACATTATACTAACTTCTCATTTATGCTGATGGTAAAATTTTCCTTTTAAAATAAATGTAAGTGCCCTTGCTGGTTTGGCTCAGTGGATAGAGTGTCTGCCTGCGGACTAAAGGGTCCCAGGTTCCATTCCCATCAAGGATACATGCCCAGGTTGCGGGCTCGATCCCCAGTAGGGGGCATGCATGAGGCAGCCGAGCAACGATTCTCTTTCACCATTGATATTTCTATCTCTCTCTCCCTCTCTGAAATCAATAAAAATATATTTAAAAAATAAAATAAATGTAAGCAAAAACCTGAAAGCATACTTGAATGGCTTCTCTGGAAAACACTGCCATTTTTCATCCATACAACAGCCAACTGGATTATTTAACTATTGTGGATTAAGTCTCCTCCAGCAAACACAAAACTGAAGGATGTTTGTGACATTATAAGCAAAGAGTCAGAGAATACATCTTTTGTTCAAAGAGTTAAATGTAAATCTTTAATAATCCTAACTAATTTGGATTAGGGAAAAAAAATCATTGTGCATTACTAATTGGTTAATTTATAAACCTAAACTAATACAAATGAATAATCAACAAAGAGCATAGACTCATATTGATAGGAAGACTGATAAATATCTGAATACCTGATCACAGATGGTGTAATGGGCTGAATTGTATCCTCTTAAATTCATGTTGAAGCCCTAACTCCCAGCACCTCAGAATGTGACCATATTTCGAAACAGTGCTTTTAAAGAACGGATTAAGTTAAAGTGAGACCATTAGGATGGGTGCTAATTTGATTTAACTGATGTCCTTAGAAGAAGAAACTTAGACACACAGAGACAATAAGGATGCACCTTTGCATGGAGTAAAGACCATGTGATGAGGACACAGTGAGAAGGCAGCCATCTGCAAGTCGATGGGAGAGGCTTCAGAAGCAACCAAACCTGCTGACACTGATTTTTTTTTACTTCTAGGCTCCAGACCTTGAGCAAATAAATTCTGTTGTTTAAGCCACCCAGTCTGGTATTTTGTTATGCAGCCCTAGTGAACTAATACACATGCTAAGTGACATCTTAAGCTTAAATTGGAAAGGAAACAGACCAAGATAGCAACAGTGGTTATCTCTTGGTACAAAGATTATGGGTGATTTTTTCCCCCCCTTTTCTTATTTCCTGCCTTCTTTTACCTCTCTTATTATTTGCATAGCAAAACAAAACAATAACCATATACTCAGGGCCCACATCAACCACACTGTAGGCAAAGGTCCTACTTCTGGGCCTTTGTACTTGCTATTCCCTCTGCCTGAAACACCCTTCCCCAGATATCCATCAGTCATGCTCCCTCACCTTCTTCAGGGCTTCAGTTGTATGACACCTGATTGCAATACGGATCGCAGAATCTCTGAAAGTGGGAATCTCACTTAATGGTATTCCCTAAGTGACTAATAACTGTGTCTGCGTTTTTTAATATTACCAAACTTGTTCAAGTCAAATTAACAATGGCAAGTACAATAACTTCCATAGCTAAGTCCTTCATTATTGAGTGAAGTTGCTTTTTTTGGTAAGATAAATGTGCTGCTTTCTTGTGTCAGATAAAATTTAAGTCAGGCTGGATTATCTACTTCTGGTATGACTATTCCTCTTGTAAACTTTGGCAAAGAACATCCTTGTGGCTAGAAATGTTATCTCTTCATCTAACAACCAGATTATCACAAGCTCATTGTTATTAGTTTCAAAACAGGTGATGAATTCAAGGTATATTTTTCTGATGTTTGAGTCCTACTTGTGAAGTAGGAGAAAATATATTAGTAATGAATCCTATACTTCCAACATATATTCCCATGGGGTTAGACCAGGGGTGGGCAAACTTTTTTTTTTTTTTCCTCAGATTTTTTTTTTTTTTTTTTTATTGCTTAAAGCATTACAAAGGGTATTACATATGTGTCCTTTTGGGCAAACTTTTTGACTCGAGGGCCACAATGGGTTCTTAAACTGGACCGAAGGGCCAGAACAAAAGCATGGATGGAGTGTTTGTGTGAACTAATATAAATTCAAAGTAAACATCATTATATAAAAGGGTACGGTCTTTTTTTTTTTTAGTTTTTTTTATTTCAAACGGACCGGATCCGGCCCGCGGGCTGTAGTTTGCCCACGGCTGGGTTAGACATTCAAAGACTTTAATGAAAGTGTGCAAAGCCTATATACACAACTGAACAACAACAGAAAGAGTCAGTTAAACAAACTTATTTTAGGTTAGCCTTTGGAACAGTAACTGAGCACCACAGAGGGCAAAGTCAGCTTTTTGTTATTACAGCAGTACTGACATTATAGGATAATTTGATTTGACTTAATTATAAAAAAGGCACCAGAAATAGCTTACTAAATAAATAACTTTGGATTGGTTAATATCTATTAGGCACTCTTAAAATATTCCAAGCAGGAGTTGGAATATACATATAAATATCAGAATAATTGTACTTTATACTGATTAATGACAATAAGCATTTATTCCATTTGAACAGTAATTCTCAAACTTTTTTGGTCTCAAAACCCTTTTATACTTTTAAAAATTACTGAGGACTTCAAAGAGCCTTTGTTGATGTGGGTTATAGCTATTGATATATACTGAATTAGAAATTAAAAGAGATTTTTAAAAATATTTAATTCATTTAAAATTAACCACAATAAACGATTGCATGTTAAGATAACATATCTTAATGAAATAATTATATTTTCCAAAGAACAAAATAAAATTAGTGAGAAGAGTGGTATGACTTTGCAAATTTATTTAACATCTGGCTCAAACAGGTTTAAGAACTGAGGTGAGCTGGAGAATACACATCCTGTCCAAAGGGGACAGTCACTCCTTTGCTCTGGCCAAATGTCTGTGGGTCATACTCTGTTTATGGTCCAACACTTTGCAACATCCCTGGGGTCACCTAATTGTCCTCAAAAATCCCTTTGACATTCAACATCCTAGGGCAGTGATGGCGAACCTTTTGAGCTCGGCGTATCAGCATTTTGAAAAACCCTAACTTAACTCTGGTGCCGTGTCACATATAGAAATTTTTTGATATTTGCAACCATAGTAAAACAAAGATTTATATTTTTGATATTTATTTTATATATTTAAATGCCATTTAACAAAGAAAAATCAACCAAAAAATGAGTTCGTGTGTCACCTCTGACACACGTGTCATAGGTTCGCCATCACTGTCCTAGGGTTAGCTCAGCACATATTTTAAACTCTTTCTTTCATCAGAACGATAAATAAAAATCGATAAACGTTGTGCTAGTTAGGCATCAGGCAGTTAAGTACTCTAACTTTATTAACCTTTATTTAGATAAATCTTGTATGTAAGCCCACAGACTGAGTAGCATTTAAAGGAGACTTACTTTTTTTTTTTTTAATCCTCACCCGAGGATATTTTTCCATTGATTTATTAGAGAGAGTGGAAGAGAGGGAAAGACAGAGAAATATCTATGTGAGAGAAACACATTGATTGGTTGCCTCCTGCACGAGCCCAGGCCAGGGCCAGGGAAGAGCCTGCAACTGAGGTATGTGCCCTTGACTGGAATCGAACCTGGGACCCTTTGGTCTGCAGGCCGACGCTCTATCCACTGAGCCAAACCAGCTAGGGCTAAAGAAGACTATATTTGTAATTCATTTTTTTCTAAGCTATAAATTTTTATTTTCATTCAAAATTCATTAGAAGTAAAGTTTGGGGAATAAACAGGCAGAAACCAGGAATTTAAAAATATTTAAAAGTTATGAGGCAATTCATTTGGTCTTTTCTGATATTTAAATAGAAGTGGCTAATTAGCACCAGGTTAGCTGGTATACTGAACTCTACTTGGTAAGGGACCACTTGGG